GTGTGACATTGCGCTCCGATCTTGGGTGCCATGAGCACATCACGTCTAAGTACCAAGTCTGTACCACATTGAGGCATTTGCCACTGTGCGCAATCGAGCGTTGTATCTGAGGGTCATTTGAGGCATTTGCCACTATGTGCAGTTGAGCGCTGTATCAGAGAACCATTCGTGCTATTAGCCACTGTGCGCAGTTGCGCACCTTATCAGAGGACCATTTATGCTATTCGCCACTGTGCGCAGTTGAGCGCTGTATCAGAGGACCATTCGTGCTTATCGCCCCTGTGCGCAGTTGCACACCTTATTAGAGGACCATTCATGCTATTCGCCACTGTGCGCAATTGAGCGTTGTATCAGAGGACCATTCGTGCTATTAGCCACCGTGCGCAGTTGCGCACCGTATCAGAGGATCATTCGTGCTAATGGCCACTGTGCACAGTTGCGCACCTTATCAGAGGACCATTCATGCTATTCGCCACTGTTCGCAGTTGAGCGCTGTATCAAAGGACCATTCATGCTAATCGCCAATATGCACAGTTGCGCACCTTATCAGAGGACCATTCGTGCTATTTGCCACTCTGCGCAGTTGAGCGCTGTATCAGAGGACCATTCGTGTTATTCGCCACTGTGCGCAGTTGCGCACCGTATCAGAAGACCGTTCGTACTATTTGCCACTGTGCGCAATTGTGCACCGTATTAGAGGTCTATTTGTGCTATCTGCCCTGCACACACTTGAAGGCCATATCTGAGTGCGCAGTACGCGCATCGCACTTGAAGGCTATTTGGCAACTGTGCATACCGCACTTGAAGGTCATATCTGAGTGCGCAGTATGCGCATCGCACTTGAGGGCTATTTGGCAACTGTGCATACCACACTCGAAGGCCATATCTGAGTGCGCAGTATGCGCATCACACTTGAGGGCTATTTCGCTGTTTGGCAACTGTGCATATCATACTTGAGGGCTATTCGAGTTGGCATCTGTGTATACCGCATTTCCGAGTTTGCAACTGTGCGAAGTCTGCACGCTGCACTTAAGGGCAATATCTGATTTTCCTTGCAACTGTGTGGAGTATGCGCACTATATTTCAGTGCTATTTCTGAACAGTGTCTGGCCAATTTCGGACCCAAAGTACAAGTGTCCATATCAATTGAATGGATAGTAAATAGCTGATTTTGAGCTTGCACTCACTGTTTTGATAGTAGTCTGGCCCTAAGTAAAGACCAAGTGTAGCATATAGTAATCCTGTTGTAAAAAGTAAGCAAAAACTGATTGTCGTTTGACTGACAGTCTGTGACAGATAGAACACGTGACAAGAATATTAGTTTCTAAGTGCGCACCCGCGCGCGCCGAGACCAGATATTGAGCACCCAAGCTTGAGAGTGCGCGCTTATGGGCGCCCAAGCTTGATATTACTGTTAGGGTGTGCGCCCATACACGCCCAAGCTTGAGAGTGCGCGCCCATGTGTGCCCAAGCTTGAGAGTCTCGGCCATGCGCGCCCAAGCTTGATATTGCCGTTAGAGTGTGCGCCCATGCGCGCCCAAACTTGAGAGTGCGCGCCCGTGCGCGCCCAAGCTTGATATTA